ATATATTTTTTCCATCCTTTGAGTTTTAGTTTGTTTGTGTCTTTAAGTCTAAGGTGTGTCTCTTGTAGGCAGCATATAGATGGATCTTGTTTTTTTATCTTATCTGCCACTGTCTATGTCTTTATTGGTGCATTTAGTCCATATGCATTCAGCATAATTATTGATAAGTGTGAGTTTAGTGCTGTCATTTTTATGTCTTTTTTTGTGTGTTCTTGAGAGTTTCTTTTTTCCACTTAATTTACTGTGCTGAGTCATTTTTCTTTATATATTTTCTTTTCATCTTTTTCATTGTTGTTCATTTTGTATTTGCTGAGTCTTTATATTTTTCTAGTATTTTATTTTGACTTGTGGGATCAATAGTTTCCTTTGTGGTTACCTTAATGTTTACCCCTATTTTTCTAAGTTTATATCAGTCTTTTATTTCTTTATATTGCCTTGACTTCCTCTCCATATGCAATATCTATGTCTACATTTTTAAGTCCCTTTTTTTTTGTTTTAATGTTGTCATCTTTTATGTATTGACATCTGTTTCCCTATTTTCAGAGTTTTAGCTTTGATTTACTTCTGCGATTTCACTATCTGGGTTGATATCTCGTTGCTCTGTCCTGTGTTCTAGTCTTGGGTTGTTATCTGATGTTACTGAATTTCAAACCAGAGGACTCCTTTCCATATTTCTTGTAATCATTGTTTGGTTTTTAGAAATTCCCTAAACTTCTGTTTATCTGGAAATGCCCTAATTTCATCATTATATCTGAGAGACAGTTTTGCTAGATATATAATTCTTGGCTCACACTTTTTTTCCTTCAAGGCTTTATATCTGTCATCCCATTGCCTTCTTGCCTGCATGGTTTCTTCTGAGTAGTCTGAGCTTAATCGTATTGACTCTCCTTTGTAGATGACTTTTTTTTATCCCTAGCCACTCTTAAAACTCTCTCTTTATCTTTGGTTTTGGCAAGTTTGATTATAATATGTCTTGCTGATTTTCTTTTGGGATCTAACTTATGTGGAATTGAATGAACATCTTGGATAGATATCTTCTTATCTTTCACAATATCAGGAAAGTTTTCTGCCAACAAATCTTCATCAATTCTCTCTGTATTTTCTGTTATCCCCCCCGTTCTTGTACTCCAATCACTTGTAGGTTATTCCCCTTGAAAGAGTCCCACGTAATTCTTAAGGTTTCTTTATTGTTTTTAATCCTTTTATCTGATTTTTCCTCAAATGAGTTGGTGTCAAGTGCTTTATCTTCAATCTCACTAATTCTGACTTCCATTGTCTCAGTTCTGCTCCTATGACTTTCTATTGAGTAGTCTAATTCTGAAATTTTATTGTTAATGTTCTGGATTTCTGATTGCTCTCTGTCTATGGATTCTTGCAACCTATTAAATTTGTCATTATGTTCTTCTGTAATCTTTTAAATTTCCTATATTGTGTGTTCTGCGTTTTGCTTAATTTCCTTCCTAATTTCTTGAAGAGTTCTGTTTATTAATCTTTTGTATTCTGCCTCTGATAATTCCAAGAAATTTTCCTCTTCTGGAAAATTTCTATATTCTTTATTTTGGGAGCTTGCTGAAGCCATCATGGATTGCCTCTTTATGTGATTTGATATTGACTGTTGTCTCTGAACCATCAATGTTATTATATTTGTTAATTTTATGTTTGTTTATTGTGTCCTAGCTTCTTGTTTTGTTTTGCTATGCCCAGATAAGCTGCTTGTATGACCTAGTTTGATTATTGTCACCTTTGAAGCTCTAATGTCCTGTCACCAGGTGGTTAGATCTGTTACTAGGTATGTGAGCTCAGGAGTTCATCCACTCCTTCTCTATGGATTCAGCTCAAGTGCCCAGGTAGATAGCCACCCAGTGTGTGGTGTAGGCTCTCACTTACAGTCTTAGACAGGCATGGGTGATTGGTGTAGACACAGGCATCTGGCTGCAGCAGGAGGACACACTCTGAGCAAGGCTGGGGGCTGACGGCTGCACCTAAGTGTCCAAGAGGCAGGCATGTCCCTGTTCCCTAGAGCGCGTAGGTGGGGGGGTTTTGCAGCCGGACTATGAGCACCTAATGCTGTTGGCTGTAACGACTTGGGGGCATCTCTTATTCATGGGCCCCTATCACAGGTGGCTAGGTGGCATGGGTGGAGACACCAGTCCTCATGCCCCTGATGTGGGTGGGTGAAGACTCTGCTTAATGGGCAGAACAGTGTCAGATGTCAAGAACCTGCCATTTTACAGCTGAAACAGTTGAAGTTAGAGTTCCAGTATATACCCTGTTATACTGCAGTAATGAGGGCCTACGCTGTTGAGATGGGCCCACAGAAGTTTATGCAAGGGGAAAGGCACTCAAAGTCCATGGATCCCTTATGCCTGTGCTTAGACAGAGGAGCTGTGCCTACCCTGGGTTCCTGGCTTAGGGGAGCCGGAAGTTTATTTTTTCCCCTGTTTGTTAATTTGTTCACTCTCCAAGGCAGGGAGAATGGCTCAGGGTGTGGGACGGATCCTCCTTCCAGCCCAGGGGTCTCGGCAATTGCTGAGCCCATCCAGGACTCAGTGCAGAGCAGGGAGCGGGGAGGTAAATGCGACAGAGGTTTTTCCATAAGTGGGGTGTTTTTGATCCACGCAATACGCAGTACGCAATTACTTGTCTTTTCCTGGTTCCAGGGCTGCTTCTCACCGGTTCTGGCTGGCCATGTAGCGTCTCTGGTGCTGGGTCTCTCTTAGTGTGGAAAATGCAGCTCCCGAGGACTGCTGCTTGCCTGTCTCACCGCTCACCCATGAGCTGCTCAGGCCTGAAGGGCTCAGGCTCTCACCAGGTTGGGCCTCGCAACTCCTTGCTGCTTCCGAACCGTCTCTCTTTCCCCCTGCCACTCTGTCTGGTTCCTTAACTCTGCCTTGATGTTCAGGCTCCCAGATTGCCATATATAATCGAATCACTTGTTTTTTTGGGTCTTTGTTGTAAAAGGGTCCACTGGAAGCGTCTGACTACTCCATCTTCCTGGCCCTGCCACCCACCTCTGATTATTAATGGATTTTTGCAGTCATTTCTTCTAATTTTGAGTGGTATCACATTAGCAAGTGAAGGTCCCAAAAGCTTGACTCCAACCACATCATTAAGATTGACTCTACCTTGAGGAGGCAACTCTTCCCCAGTTGTCTTTTGAGTGCCTTCCAACCTTAAGGGTTCATCTTCTGGCCCTGTATCAGAGAAAGTTAAGCTGCTATTCATAAGGTCTTCACTGGCTAATTCCTTCAGAAGTAGACTGGAAGGTCCTTCTTCCTAGTCTGTCTTAGTCTGGAAGCTCAGCTGAAACCTGTCTGCCACGATTGACCCTGCTGGTATCTGAATACCCGTGGCATACCTTCTGGCATCACAGCTACGTGCAAGCCCCCACACTACAACAAACTGACAGATGCATGTGGGCCCTCTTATTTACAATGTAAAATTACCCCATCATGAATTCATATTTTATCCACTACACAAACCCCTCCCAAACTTCTCTCCAGACTTTACCCGAGGAGATGTTGTCTCCACTTAGTGTTGCTTTATACAAATTACTATCAACCTCATTTGCATTTGTCTTTTTACATTCCGTTAGGATGAACTTGGGGAGAAGCACCTAGGACCACTCTGCAAGGGGTGGTGTGGAAGCATGAGCTTCAGTCAGACCTTTCTATCTAGCCAAACTGCAACTGTGCCCTTGGCTTATCTCACATCGATGATTGCAGAAAAGTCAATATTCCATAACCTCTTTATTTTTATGTTGCCTTTTTTTTTCTCAGAGTGTTTCTTACCATACATATACACCTTAATGTTGCAACTTAAGACACTCTTTCTTTTAGCCAAACTTCATTGCTTTCCTTCCAACAATAAGAGTTCCCTTCCACTCATTAGCAGTTCACAATCTATATCTTCTGGTGTTTCTTATCTCCTTATTTAAAAAAATCTATCTCTAAGTTATAACAAAAAACCAACAGAGGAGTTGCCTTCTCATCTGATAGGTTCTACTCATCACGGTGAGCATTGAAAGGAGTCACCTTGATTTTCAAATCTCTGCATTCCTCACTGCTGGGTCTACTGATGGCTCAGCCCAAGATTACACCACACCACACACACATACCAAGTTTCCTAGTTAGCATTTCCTGATCACTTGTATATTTTTGATAACTTTGCCTTTCTTAATTCTTTATTCCATATACCAAAGTTCTTGGTTTGACAGACTCATATTTTCTGCCCCTAACAAGGGTATCAATTTGGGTATTAAGGAACTCCATCAACAATAAATTTTAGGTTTTCATCATCAACTTTATTTGACATTTAGTCTTCAATTCTGTCCTATTACACAGCCTAGCACCTGTATCACAGCCATGTAATCCCCTTTCCTGTACATAGCCCTGTCCTTCCCCCAGAATCTGAAACCAGAAAGAATAAAGAAGCATACAAAAGAAGGGAAAACAAAAAGTCAAGACTTTCAGAAATCTCATAAGGTTGGAACATCCCATCTCAAAATACTTAAAGTCACACTGGTGGTGGCCATGGAGCACTCCTTGGCAATATATGCGTGAAGACCATAGTAATAACTATACTGTAAGGATGGCATAACCTCTTTGTCCAACTCACACTGCTGTGAGGCATGGCCCAAAGCAACCAGACCAATAGAGAGGAGACTGAAACCCACTACAGCAGATGAACAGCTCATAATGTCTGTGATCAGGCTGCTTTGAACCTAAATGAGAAATGCTAAGTAAGGATCTCTTCTCACGAGCAACAAATGCATCTACTATACTTCTTTTCTAGTGAATTGCGACTATTTGTGTCCTGTCTGTCTCCCTCCAGAGGTTTAGAATAGATCATTTGTTTCTGTATGGCTTCTGTCTGCTTAGCAAAGTCTTTGAACCTAGAAAGTAATCTTGGCTGAGTAAATGAATAAATAAAATGTTTCCCCCTAGGCAAGACTTCAGTGGGGTAGAAGAGAATGGTGTTCTCCTAAATTCCTTACCCTGAACAAACAGCAAGACAGATGAGGCTATACCTGCTAAATCTCCATGAGTGTGACCAGAGGCAGAGATGTCAGTGGACCAGTTACAGTTTCTATCTCACCTAACTCACTCAGAAACCCTCCATGGGAGTATCAGCCACACAGAGGAGGCAGATGAGCAGTTAGTTCCTCCTCGCACAGCTACCTCTCCACAGAAGCAAACCCACTCAAAGATGGTTCTCAGACACAGGAGGGTCCAGGATTCCTGATTGGTGTGTAGTTGGTCACATTTGTGGCCATAGTTGGATAGCTGGAGGCAGAGTTCTAACTCAGGTCCCCCCAAAAACACCAGACCTGTTGCCATCAAGCCTATTTCGACTCACGGCAATTCCATGTGTTACAGAGTAGAAGTGAGATCCATAGGGTTTTCTTGGCTGAAATCTTTATGGAAGCCGACTACCAGGGCTTTCTTCTGTGGTGCTGCTGGGCAGGTTCAAACAGCCAATATTTTTGTCAGCAATGGAGCACAAACCATTTGCACTGCTCAGGTACCTATAGATTCAGGCTCAAGGACATTGTAATGTGTGAGAGGCAGCCAGAGGCAGAAGAAAAGTCTGACCTAGATATCAGGAAACTGAGGTCACAGGGTTACCTTTCTCTGTAGCTCCTTCAGTTTCTTTGAGTTCTCAGTTCCGCAGTTTCATTTCTCGTTCTTGGCCTACAGTTATAAAGCAAGGGGAAAAAACAAAGTGATCTCAGAAGTGGCTTCACTTCTACCCAACTCACAAAAGAAGGGGATTAACTCAAGACCATTCTGAAAACTGTAGTTATAGGTATGTGGCCTTAAGGGCACCACCAACAGCCATAGATTAGAGTATTGCCTAATCTTATCCATGCCCCTTCTTTTAGGGTCTCAGCAGTTGGAGCCACAGCCATAATACCTTGCGTACATATTTCTTATAATAAATTAGGTTTCTTCTGGGGCAGTACTCTTCTTCAATCTCAAAAAGGGCTAGTATTATATGTGACAGAAGTAAAATTCACTACAGTCTACATGACTCTGGTGAGCCTGAGCCCACTCTGCAACCCCATACCATATCCTTGAGCTTGCTGTCAAGTTTGCTGTGAGAGTATTCTTCTCCAGTGGGTAAGTGTCACCTGAAAGCATAGAGGCATTATTCTTGTGCTGCACTATTTAATACAGTGTTCATTAGCCACATGAAAAAATTATATTTAAATTAGCATTAAATAAAATAAAAAATTCAGTTCCTAAATCACGTTAGCTATGCAATTTCTCAATAGTTACATGGGCTACTGTATTGGGCAACAAAGATATAATGTAGTTCTGTCATCTCAGAAAGTTCTATTAGATAGTCCTGGTCTAGTGGTTTGGGGTCAAAGTGGGCGTTCCGAATAGTATGCTCTAAATCCTGATGAAAGACAGAGATATTGCCATTGGTATGGATATTCCCTAAAACTTTCTCACTGCTTTCAGGAGATTTTTGCAACAATAGTCACTGTAGTATGTAAGGCATTACAATGCACTCCCACATGTGGCCTCAACTTCAAACTACTGGTGGGATATTGGGTTGAGTGAAGACTTAGCAAATCTTTACAGATGAGAATAAGCTTCTCCCTATAACCCTACTTTCCTCTCCCATTTCTGGTTTTGCCTGGAAAGAATAATAAGAGGGTAAAGTTCTTTTCTTAACCAATACAAATAACTAATGATAATAGCTAGGACTCAAGAGTTTATCTTCAACCTACATAGGTATTAGTTTTCAGGTCTTGTAGCAGGAATGATGGGATATGAAGCCTCAGACAAACAACCTATTGACTAGATTTTTTTCAGGTGATAATGTCTGACAGGTATGCTTAAACAGTAAACCCATAACAAGGAGAGCATCAACTTTTTACAAAGTTGTCCGTTTCTTTGTCATTGAAGATCTAAATTTGAAGGGCAGTTACCGCCAAAAGGGCATCATGAGGAGGCAGAATTTTTCTGGAATAGATTCATAGGCACTAGTCTAGGGTATAATTCAATACCATGAAGGCAGGCAGTGATATGAAGCATAGTGGTTGGAGAAATGTGTACTGGACAGGAATATGGAAGATCCAGCCTCAGCTCTTAACTCTGCCAAACAGCTGTTCTGGATCTCAGTTTCCAGATCTTCAAAGTGGCAAGATTGTCCTCTCTCTTAAGTTTCATTTGGCTCCATAGAGTTGTGTGTTGTAGTTATCATACTCTCAATAGGCTTAATGGACTTTTTCCCTTTGCTGATTGATAGAGATCCAGAGATTACAAACCACTCAGAAAAGAGAGAAAAAGGTCAGGTTATTTTGTATGTGCCGATGTAGCAAAAATATTACTATCATGGTGTTTGTGGAAAACTACTATGGCGAAAGCATTGGTGAAGGAAGGAACAATGATGTAAGAGCTATTTCAATACATATGTCCTTGTACTTGTATAGCTTTCAGAGAAGTGATTGAAAAGCAAGGTGTGATCACCACCCCATCTCAATAAATAAAAATTAGGAAATTAAAAACCAGGAAAGAAGTGTTTTTCACATGACAGAAGAAAGTTTTGAAGTCAGGAGTTATCTAGAGATGGATGTGAGAGCAGTGGCATGGAAAAAGAAAAAAAACAGAGGCAGCTAACAAACATGGGAAGACAGAAGCAGATCTCAAGTTGGTAGTTCCACAGGCTAAGGTAGACTGGTAAGGATAAGCATGGATGGCAGAAAAGTCTTTAAGACTGTGTTCAGAAAAACAATGAAAATCTTATTGCTCTCAGACTACTCATGACCTAATAGACTTGGAGCAGCTAAGTAACAGAAAATTTGTTGACAGTGGAAAAATTGGATAAAACAGTAAGAAAAAAGATGCAGTTCTAGTTGTCCAGAATTAAGTAATTTAGGCCTGTATAAGTCAATAACGGGCCTTAATAAATGGACTAGATACCTCCTCAAATGTGGGCTGTTCTTAGTAACTTGCTTCCAAAGAGCAGACTAGGAAAACAGCAGGGAGCGAAGTAACTTTTCACTGGAGAAACCTGGCAAAAACCATGCTGGTCATGTGATCAAGTTTAACTTCACCAGTAATAAATCATGTTGATAGCATACACAGTTACTTGATGAATTGATGAGAATGGCATTTCACCACTGTATTCTTACACCCTAAAACTCATCACCATAGTCTAAACATGAGAAAAACATTTGACAAATCCAATTTGAAAGACAGTACAGGCAATACCTGGATTATGAAGAAGAATCGTTCCTGAGTGTGTCTTTAAGAGTTTGTAGGTAAGTTGGAACAGGTGCATACCGTTCTCATTTAGCCTTACTTTAATGTAAGAAAAGGCTCGCAGCCTTTTCAATGATCTAAAAGCTGTCCCCCCAGTTTGTCATACTGTGGGAGCTTGTGTGTTGCTGTGATGCTGAAAGCTATGCCAATGGTATTCAAATACCAGCAGGGTCACCCAGGGAAGACAGATTTCAGCTGACCTTTCAGACTAAGACAGACTAGGAAGAAGGACCTGGCGGTCTACTTCTGAAAGGAATTAGCTGGTGAAAGCCTTATGAATAGTGCTGAACTTTGTCGGATACAGTGCCAGAAAAAAAACCCCTGAGGTTGGAAGACACTCAAAATTCGACTGGGGAGGAGCTGCCTCCTCAAAGTAGAGTTGACCTTAATGAGGTGGATGGAGTCAAGCTTTTGAGACCTTCATTTGCTAGTGTGGCACGACTCAAAATGAGACAAACAGCTGCAAAAATCTATTAATAATTAGAGGTGGAATGTACTAAGTATGAAGCTAGGAAAACTGAAAGTCATCAAAAATGAAATGGAAGGCATAAATATTGATAGTGAACCAAAATGGACTAGTATTAGCCATTTTGAATTGCACAAGCATATGGCATACTGTGAGGGAAATGACAACTTGAAGAGGAATAGCATTGTATTCATCGTCAAAAAGAACATTTCAAGATCTACCTGAAGTATAGTACTATCAATGATAGGATAGTATCCATATACCTACCTACAAGGAAGACCAGTTAATATGACTGTTATTCAAATTTACACACCAATTACTAAAGACAAAGACGAAGAAATTGAAGATTTTTGCCAACTTCTGCAGTCTCAAATTGATGAAACATGCAATCAGGATGCATCAATAATTACAGGTGATTGGTGAAAGTTGGAGACAGGGAAGAAGGATTGATAGTTGGAAAATATGGCCTTCGTGATAGAAATGATGCCAGAGACTGCATGATAGAATTTTGCAAGACCAACGACTTCTTCATTGCAAATACCATTTTACACGAACATAAATGATGACTATACATGTTAACCTCATCCGATGGAATACACAGGAATCAAATCGAGTACATTTGTAGAAACAGACAGTGGAAAAGTTCAATATTATCAGTCAGAACAAAACCATGTGCCAACTGTGGAACACACCATCAATTGCTCCTTTGCAAGTTCAAGTTGAAACTGAAGAAAATTAGAACAAGTCCAGGAGAGCCAAAGTACGAACTTGAGTATATCCTACCGTCTCAAAAATAGATTTGATGCATTGAACACTGATGACCGAAGACAAGTTGTGGAATGACACCAAGGACATCATACATGAAGAAAGCAAGAGACCATGAAAAAGATAGGAAAGAAAGAAAATCCAAAATGAGTGTGAGAGAGACTCTGAAGCTTGCTGTTGAACATCCAGTAACTAAGTGAAAGAAAGAAATGATTAAGTAAAAAAGCTGAATAGAAGATTTCAAAGGGCAGCTTGAGAAGAAAAAGTAAAGTATTATAATGACATGTGCAAAGACCTGGAGATAGAAAACCAAAAGGGAAGAACACACTCGGAATTTCTCAAGCTGAAAGAACTGAAGAGAAATTCAAGCCTCAAGTTGCAATATTGAAGGAGCCTACAGAAAAAATATTAAACGATGCAGGAAGTATCAAATGAAGATGGAAAGAATACACAGAGTCACCATACCAAAAAGAATTGGTCAACATTCAATCATTTCAGGAGATAGCATACGGTCAGGAACCGATTGTAATGAAGGAAGAAGTCCAAGCTGCACTGAAGGTATTGGCAGAAAACAAGGCTCCAGGAATTGACGGAATACCAATTGAGATGTTTCAACAAACTGATGCAGCACTGGAAGTGCTCCTCATCTATGCCAAGACACCTGGAAGACAGCTAGCTGGCCAGCCAACTAGAAGAGATCTATACTTATGCCTATTCCCAAGAAAGGTGATCAAATTGAATTCAGAAATTATTGATCAATGTCATTAATATCACATGCAAGTAAAATTTTGCCGAAGAACATTCAAAAGTGACTTTAGCAGTATATCAACAGGGAACTGCCAGAAATTCAAGCCAGATTCGGAACAGGACGTGCAACCAGGGATATCACTGCTGAGGTCAGATGAGTCCTGCTGAAAGCAGAGAATACCAGGAAGATGTTTACCTGTGTTTTATTGACTATGCAAAGACATTTGACTGTGTGGATCATAACAAATTATGGATAACATTGTGAAGAATGGGAATTCCAGGACTCTTCATTGTGCTCATGAGGAACCTGTACATAGATCAAGAGGCAGCTGTTCAAACAGAATAAGGGGATAGTGTGTGGTCTAAATTTAGAAAAGGTGTACATCAGAGCTGTATCCTTTGACCATACCTATTCAATCTGTATGCTGAGCAAATAGTCCGAGAAGGTGAACTATATGAAGAAGAACGGGACATTAGGATTGGAGGACTAGTTAAAAACCTGCATTATGCAGATGACATAACCTTGCTTGCTGAAAGTAAGAGGACTTGAGGCATAACTAATTAAGATCAAAGACCCAGCCTTCAGTATGGATTACACCTCAACATAAAGAAAGAAAAATCCTCACAACTGGACCAATAGGCGACATCAGGACAAGGGGAGAAAAGATTGAAGTTGTCAAGGATTTTATTTTGCTTGGATCCACAATCAATACCCATGGAAGCAGCAGTCAAGAAATCAAACAACACATTACATTGAGCAAATCTGCTGCAAAAGACCTCTTTAAAGTGTTGAAAAGGAAAGACATCACCTTGAAAACTAAGGTGTGCCTGACTGAAGCCACGGTGTTTTCAATCACCTCATATGCATGGGAAAGCTGGACAATGAATAAGGAAGACCAAGGAAAAATTGACACCTTTAAATTGTGGTGTTGGTGAAGAATATTGAATATACCATAGACTACCAGAAGAATGAACAAATCTGTCTTGGAAGAAGTACAACCAGAATGCTCCTTAGAAGCAAGGATGGCGAAACTTTGTCTCGAATACTTTGGACATGTTATTAGGAGGGATCAGTCCCTGGAGAAGGACATTATGCTTGGTAAAGCAGACAACCAGTAAAAAAGAGGAATACCCTCAACCAGATTTATTGAAATAGTGGCTGCAACAATGGGCTCAAGCATAAAATTATGAGGATGGTGCAAGACCAGGCAGTGTTTTGTGCTGTTGTACATGGGGTCTCTGCAAGTCAGAACCAATGCTAAGGCAAGTAACAACAACAACAAGAGCTGTACTGTAGCAAGTGAGGTGATTGTGACGAAAAATTTGTTGCGAGTAGGATTTGATTCAATCTTTTCAAAGTGAAGGCAAATTTACATAACATTAATGGGTAAGCATGAGTTGTCCATAAGGCAAACACTTTTAATCCAGAAACTGCCTATATACAAAAAAACATAGCCAATCCTCCACGAAATTATCAATATTATCAAAGACAAGGAAAGTCTGAGAAACTGTTATAGTCTTGAGGAAACTCAGGAGCAACATCCACTAAATGTAATGTTATATCCCTGATGACATCTTGGAACAGGGGAAAAACTGGTGAAATCCAAAGTGTTGAGTTTAGCTAATAAAAGGTGGACTTCTGGGTGTATCTAACCAAAAAAAACAGTAGCCAAAGATAGCTAGTGATTATTAGTGGAAAGCTGATGGGAAAACTATGAAAGAGAAACTTAATTATGAGAAAAATTCAGCCACATCAATGTAGAATAAAGCAGCTCTCAAAGAAAAGAACCACTAAGTCACCTTGACACCCCATACATGCAGCGGTCTCTGAGGAATTTCCAGTCCATCAGTGAAGTATGGCCATCTATTTGGTCTTCTCTGGACGCCACTAAATGCGGCAAAAGTATTTCAAAGTTCCCAGAGCTGGAAGTGCTCCTTCCCCCATAGTTCTCACAAACATCAATGTGGTTTCTGTACACAGGTGTGGTGTCTCTCATAGGTGTTCATTTTTCTGTAAAGAAATGTTCTCCCGAACTTTCTCCTACTTCATGGATTTTTCCCTAAACCTGGAGATAAGCCACTAGCCTCATCATAGCCGAAGAAGATGGATGAAAATCATGGTGATCGTCAAAAGAAATGATTATTTGCATCAGTTGAGAAAGAGGTCTCAAATCAGAAGACTCTTGTCCTCCCACTCTACTCAATCAATTCTAAGGCTACAAACACAGGAGAAGAAGTTCTACCATTGACAGTTTGCTCCTGAGGATAGAAGTGTATGTGACAAGTGAAAAGCTCAAGCTATTTGCTTCTTCCACCCACCTCCACTGCATCCTGTCCTCCTAGGGAATTCTACTCACACAGAAGGCTCCTATGAATGGGTAACTAGCCTTCAGCAGGGTGGAAAACACTGGAATGAATTGATAAGAGAAGGAAGAAGATACCAAAATGAGTCCCAAGCTCAACACCATCAACCTGCACAGGAACTGCATAGTCTGTTAGGAGAGGAAAGGAGATGGGGTGTTAAAAAAAACAGCGTTTGTAAGGACAGGGACTCTTCACCCCTGGCATAATGCAGACACTGTAAAAGTTCTAGAGTGAGGTATCAGGAAAGTCATTGTGTAAGGGATGCTGTTTTGCCACAAAAGAAAAAAAAAAAAAACGTTTTGGACAGTCTGGTGAGTGCACAGCAAACCTTCAGGCATTTCTGTGTCCCAAGCCCTTGTCTAGAGCCCTGGTGGTGCAGTGGTTAAGAGCTCCGCTGCTAACCAAAAGGTGAGCAGTTCAAATCCATCAGCCACTCCTTGGAACCCCTATGGGGCAGTTCTACTTTGCCCTACAGGGTTACTTGAGTTGGAATAGACTTGTTGGCAATGGTTTCTTAATTCCTTGTCTCCTCAAGATTTTGTTCCCAGTCCATAATGAGCGCTGGGCTCTTTTTCCTTGATCTGAGTCCACTGTTAGTAACTCTCAGGTCCTCTTTTACCTCTTAGGGGAACAGTTAGCATCAGAGCCTTCACACTCTTTTGAGCATTGGCAGTGTGGAAGCCTCTCCCTACATCCCTCAAACACCACTGAACGCATCAACATGAAGCTTGGCCCTCCTTGGCCTCCTCAATCAATGTCCCTGTTGCTGAGGAGCCTGATGCTTTACCACAGGTGGTGGTATTTTCCTCTCTGACATTCCCCTCACCTCAGAGATTCATAGCTCTATTAACATTTACCAAACAGTTTTCAAACTTTATGTCACATAAGCCTCACATTAATCAACATTATTGTATAGGTGAGGCAAGGCAACCAGTCCCACTAGGTCCTGAAGCCCAATTAGATAGAGGAAACCTGTGCAGAGACAATTCTAAAAACCAGAGCTCTACATTTTTCTTTCATTCTCAAAAGGAATGAGGATACGGGAAAAGGAAGTTGTTTCTCCAGTTACCTGCAGTGAGGAATAAATCCCCTTTAAAAAATCAATTCTAATTATTAGGCACATAATTGGGCAATACATAGAAAAAAATATATATAAATATGTAATCTTTTACCACCATTGTTTGCTAAGAGAAAAACATACACACCTGGTCCTCGCTTAACCACAAGGTTAGGTTCCAAAGACCAGGTCATTATGTGAAAATAGGCATTATAAAAAAATGGAGGATGACCAAATCAGTTCACAAACTGGAGGATGACTATGTCATTACACAACTGCAAAATTACAACATTATATAACTGCCAAACCACTGAGAATCATGGCACAGCCAGGCTGACACATGTCCTTAACCATCACAGCCAGTGTTACTCTCGCCTTTCACCTCAGCATTATGTTTCTGGTTGGTGGGTCTGGGTATTTCTGTTTGGGGGAACTCAGTGCCATCTGATGTGAGGACCAAAACAGTCTCACTGGGCATAAGCTTTGATGTCATGACTTTGGCGGCCAATGCCGGAAGAAAAAGACCAATACAGCTTGACTGCGTCATTTGACATAAAACACACAGGGCTGCTAGTTTCTGGCCTCCCATAATTGTTATACCCTTAATCCACAGGTTATCTGTCCTTTAGGGAAGAAAACTACGGGCATGGAGCAGGAAGAGCTTCCTTGCTTTCATGAGGAGTTTTCCATAATGTTTGACATAGTCTATCCATTACAGGTAATAAACACATCCCAGGAAGGCAACAGCATGATCTTGAGAGGTTCGAATATTCAGAGGCAAACAGTCTCACAAGATTGTTTTCACTACAAGGGGCAATATCCACTTCCCACCTATAATGACTGTGTTGCCATATTTTCAATGAATTTCACCCTTAACCTACCCCACCAGTCATGATATGTAATAAGAGTTCTGTTTTTAACTTTTCTTATTCAGGTTCTGTACTACTCAGACTATCTAACTCTGCCTATTTGTTTTGTGTTGTTTGTTGTTAGGTGCCATCGAGTCGGTTCTGACTCATACAGACCCTATGTACTACAGAACAAAATACTGCCCAGTCCTGTACCATCCTTACAATTGTCATGCTTCAGCCCATTGTTGCAGCCACTATGTCAATCTTTCTCATTGAGGGTCTTCCTCTCTTTCGCTGACCCTCTACTTTACCTAGCATGATGTCTTTCTCCAGGGACTGGTCCCTCCTGATAACTTGTCCAAAGTATGTGAGACAAAGTCTCACCATCCTTGCTTCTAACGAGCATTCTGGCTGTACTTCTTCCAAGACAGATTTGTTCATTCTTCTGGTAGTCTATGGTATATTCAAGATTCTTCACCAACACCATAATTCAAAGGCATCAGTTCTTCAGTATTCCTTATTCATTGTCCAGCTTTCCCATGCATATGAGACAAATGAAAACACCATGGCTTGGATCAGGCACACATTAGTACTCAAAGTGATATCTTTGCTTTTTAACACTTTAAAGAGGACTTTTGCAACAGATATACCCAATGCAATGTATCCTTTGTTTTTTTTGACTTCTGCTTCCATGGGCATTGATTGTGGACCCAAGTAAAATGAAATCCTTGACAATTTCAATACTTTCTCCATTTAACTTATCGGTCCAGTTGTAAGGATTTTTCCTTACCGAAGGCTGTAGTCTTTGATCTTCTGAAGGCTGTAGTCTTTGTTCTTTATCAGTAAGTGCTTCGAATCCTCTTTACTTTCAGCAAGCAAAGTTGTGTCATCTGCATATAGCAGGTTGTTAACTAGTTTTCCTCCAATCCTAATGCTGTGTTCTTCTTCGCATAGTCCAGCTTCTCAGACTGTATGATTAGCATTTTTCTAGTTATTTTCATTATGATCTTTTGCTAGACATTATCCCATAATACCTTCAATACTTACAACAACCCTGCGTGTCAGTCAGTTATTAAAATGATTTAATAGTTATGGAAACTCCTAGTCAAAAAGTGTGTTATGAATGGAAGTAATACACACTTTGCAATATGATAATGTAGAGTTAATGCTGACAAAATATTTGTGGTTATAATTATTACTAAGCTGAATTCACACAATGGGAAACTGTAGAACCAGGGTTTAACCCAGTTATCCCAGAATCTGAAACTTCTGCACAATTTACTAAATTCTGCCACCATTTCCTGTCCCATCCTACTTTCGCTGTGACAATGACAGCTTTTTATCTCAGTTTATTCAGTCTGAAAGGCAGCTGTATATGATAGTATGAGAGCAGAACTATAAACCTAGCTTCAAGGTCACTTGTTAACCTTAAAGATTGAGTTGCCTATGGTATTAACTGCCAGGCTCAGCTTAGATCTCTTTTCCCTGCACCACTCTCAGCCCATGGACTCCACAATTTGCATAATAGCCCAAAAACATCTGAAGATACAAGGCCTCTGCCTCCACTGACTATGAGACTTTGGGCAAGTGACTCACCAAAATCATGCAGTTAGAAAACAGCAGAAATAGTGAAAACCAGATACTCCTTCTTCCTGCCCATTCTATTTCCAGAATTCTCTAGTATCTTTTAACTGCTCTCAAGGAGCTTCCAGTCAAATAACCCTGCTAATATGGTCACAGCAAGGGAGTTTTGAGCTGAAAAAGTTGATCTGCATTGCCTACCTATCCTGTGGACCAGCCTATGCATGCCAAAGGAGCTCTCAAAAGTCACCAGCAGACTTTAACTCCGGGTTCTCATACTGTCCTGCCAGCATTTCCTACTTGTCTTTGTCTTCTGAAACCCCTAGCTCTTCCTCAGTCCAGTGTTTACGGATATACAGGATGTCATGTGTGCCACACGTACAGATTGCAGATTTGTGAACTGTGTCTCAACTTCCTTTTTACTAAACTTCTAGTATCTCCAGATATATCACAAGTAGGACCAACTAAAGATTGAGAGAGAATGGAAGTCGCACAGCTCTATGTATCATGCCATCCCAATAACTTACTACCTCTGTGTTATTAGACAAGTCTGTGTTCTTCTTGGAGCCTCAGTTTCTTAATCTGTTAGGATAACAATACTGACACTGGAGAGCTGCTATCAAGAATGCAGTACAAAAGGCCTATACTGCTTCCAAGGAGTATTCAAAAATATGTAGCTAAAAGTGGCTGGGTGGTACCAATGGTTAAATGCTCCACTACTAGTTGAAAGGTTGGTGGTTTGAACATATCCAGAGGCACCTCAGAAGACAGTCCAGGCCATATGCTTCTGAAAGGTCACAGCCTTTAAAACACTATGGAGCAGTTCTACTCTGCACAAAAGTAGTGGCCATGAGTTTGAATTGACTCCATGGAAACAAACAACAACAAAAACAATAAAATAGTAATATTGATAGTAATAATAGTATTGATAAATAATAATATTCAATAATATATAGTTAATAATAGTATTGGGGCCCTGGTGGCACAGTGGTTTAGAGCTCAGCTGCTGATCAAAAGGTTAGCAGTTCAAATCCACCAACTGATGCTTGGAAAACCAAAGGGGAAGTTCTACTCTGCCCTAGAGTCACTATTTGTTGAAATCCACTCAACACCAACAGGTTTTTTGTTTGTTTGTTTGTTTAATAATAGTAATAATGGCTATATTGCTGTCAAGGAGCACTCAATAATATCTAGCTAATAAAATAAATAATAAAATATTCAAAATATATTTTTTGGTATTTTTATGTATATATTTTTTCTTTTTCCAATTCCTCAGGCCTTGGGTAGGCAGAAAGCAGCCTTTGGGCACTTACTGCTTCCAATGGATTAAATTATGTTCACCAAAATTATGTGAAAGTAGAGGAGAGATGGGGTAAGACAGATGCCAAGTACATAGAGATCTCCAAGGAACCAGAAAGCAGAAGCTGAAGTGAAAAAGATCTTCCTCCAGAGTGACAGAGAGGGAAAGCTTTCCCCTAGAGCTGACACTCTAAATTCAAACTTCCAGTTTCCTAAACTGAGAGGAAATAAATTTCTATTTGTAAAAGCCATCCATTTGTGGTATTTCTGTTATAGCAACACTAGATAACTAAGAATTTAGTACCAAGAATGGAGTGCTGTTTTAACACATACCTAAAATGTGAAAGCAGTTTTGAAATTGGGTAATGGGTAGAGGCTGGTTGAGTTTTGAAGTGCCTAATGGTAAAATTCTGGATTGCCTTGAAGAGACTGTTAGTAGAATTAAGGACATCAAAGACAATTGTGGTGAGGGCTCCGAAGGAAGTGTGGAGAGCTATAGAGAAAGTCTGTATCATCTTAGAGAATACATATGGCACCAGCAATAGAATGTTGCCAGAACTGTGGATGTTAAATGTGCTTCTTGTGAGACTTTAAAAGAAAATGATAAACACTTGATTGGACAATGGAGGAAGGGTGATGCTTTATATCCAGTGGCAAAGAACACGTCTAAACTGTGTTCAAATGTTTGCTGGAAGGTAGAACTTGTAAGTGATGAACTTGGATAACTGGTTGATGAGATTTCTGAGATAGATATTAAAGGGGCTGCATGGTTTCTCCTTGCCACTTATAATAAAATGTGAGAGGAAAGAGATAGACTTAAAAATGAACAGTGCAAAATGAAAACAAAACTTGAAGATTTTGAAAATTCTGTGGTACAAACTAAGGACATGTGTCCTAGAATTTTTACCAAGGTCATGGCTACACAGGTGTTTGTTAAAGAGATTAAGCCTCTGACTGATGGATCTATTCAACTACCACAGCAGAAAACCCATTACCTTAGACTGAAAGGAATAGAGAAAGAACAAAAGGAGAGAATGCTGACTGCCTCTTGCAATTCTTCAAGCAGGAAACAGGATAAAGGAGCTACATCTGTTGTCCTTCAAGAAAAGAAAAATGCTGTCCAACCCTGGAGTAATTCAGAGATCAGCAGCACTATTGCAAGGAGCGTGGGGAGCAGGTCCTTCCTGGTTTCAAAAGCTGGGGCAATGGTAGCCTGGATCTCCAAGCGTGGGACCTCAGCCTCCTAGTTTTCAAAGAGTTGGATCTTTATCAACTGAATTCCAGAGTGTGGGGCTACTGTTAAAGTGTGCAGGGAGATGGGGCTGCTGCCCAAACCTGAGGGGACATGGCTGCCATGCCCAAGTGGCAAAAGAATGGGGACTGCAGGAGCTGAGGAAGTGGGGTCACCACTCAGATGGACTAGGAGAATAGGGCCACCCAAAGCCAGCGGAGCAGAGTTGCCATCCCAGTGGGCCTGGAAGACAGAGCTGAAGCCAAGGACTGAGGGTCCTCCACCCAGAGTCCAGAGTGTGGTCACACTCAGAGTCTAGAGGGCAGGGCCATTGCCCAGATGGTCTCAGAGAGCAGAGAATTATTTTCAAGCCATCAGAGCTAATGTAATTTTTTCTTATGGGTTTTGGACTTGCATGGTGCATGTTATCCCTTCTTTCCTTACAATTTCTCCCATTTATAATGGAAATGTCTACTTTGTGCTCGTTCCACCATTGTAGTTTGGAAAATAGTTAACTTTTATTGTTTATTTCACAGGTTCACAGATTTAACTGGTTTATTAGCAAATTCCCCTAACGGGGAAAAG